GTATCTCATGCTGATATTCCATGGGTCCTCCAATTTCGCTAAAGCCTGCCGTGTGATGCGCGCGATAGCGGGCGAAGCAAAACTGGTATTAATAATAATAAGATATAATAATAATGGTATGTTATTTTGTGGTTGACTATGGGGGAGCGCTTCCGTTGTTTTTCTCTGAAGAGTCAAAAAACAGAAACCTGCAATTTTTTATGCGATAATAGAGAATCCTATAAGGGTAATATTGCGATGAATGAGATGAACGGCTTCATACACCTTCAAGATGGCATAACACAATCAGCTCATCAACACCGTGAGCGATGATTACACTGTGCTTCCTGATTACGGTAAGTTTCTACTCTTTTCGAAGACAAAGTGAATTGGAAATGGGATCGCTCCCCTCGCTTGATGACCTCTTCTTATCTGTTACGGCATGTTCTTCTGCCTTTGTTTTTGTGTTTGCCCTGCGATTAATGGATTTCAACTTTTTTTCTGGATTACAACTTCTTGCCCAAACTGAGCTTCACGCGTGTAATCGTGTACCCTATCGCCGTAGGTCGAGGTCGCTGCCGCGGTGTTGGACTAATGTAAAGAGAGAAGGACTATGTTCCCCTCCCTCTTTGGATTGGAGTAGGCTTGAAAATGGGGACTGCAACATGCACATGCATACCTAAAGGAGGAATCTTAGCCCAAAAGCGCCAGTCTAACTGAACTTTTCCCGAGACTGTGGCTTGGCTCCATATGCAACCGTGAGGGAAAACGCTAACTAAGTAAAAATGAATATAATAAAACCCATAGCGTAACTGGTAGCGCACTTGCCCGGAAAGCGAGAGGTGCGGGTTCTAGTCCCGCCTGGGGCGAAAGTTTTGTTCACAACCCAGCATTCTTGTGAAACTAACATAAGTTTCATATGGGATGGCACCGGAAATCGTTGCGTGCCCCGCTGCAAACACCAGTCCAATCCCAATTAGCAACCGTATGTGGCGCATCTTAAGTAGGATCCTTTATTGTCCCTTTCTAACGGCCCGTCTTTTCTAAATATCATAAGTGACCTTTTGACTCACGATATTTCACGATATTCTGCTTTTCACTTGAAAAAAAGTTATCCATGCGAAGCGTGGCGGGTTCATTCAACTAGAAAGTACTTTTCTATGATAAAATGATTTAGGCCGTGAATTTTGCCTCCGGTCGAGTGCTCAACATTGGCCTGATGTTTGTTGATGGTATCCCAGGCATGGACATTACCGTTGGTTACAGGTGTGTTCCATTCTTCTGAACGAACAGATAATTTCCTGAGATACACCATGCCAATGTGGATGCAGAACTGTAGCAACCCTCTCTTTGTCAGCGAATGAAATCAGACATCACTGCAAAAGCACCATATTAACACATTCACGTGGCGCCCCTGTTCCACTTTTGGTCGCGTGGGACGGACGCGATTTTGTGGGCGCCGCCGCCTCACCTCACATTTGTTTTGTAAATGAACAAAAACATGAATGTCACAAAATAATTTCTGCAATGTCCAATGCGTAAAGATTATCTAAACATATAACAGTAGGATTTCGATCAGAACGACGAATAGTGGTTACGAAAAGAGAGCATTTATTCACTTTCCCCGTGAAGGAATTTAAAAGCATTTTACACTCGATTACGAGGTTTGCCCACCTATCTGTCCATTCCTAGCGCCTGGCAAGCGATTATCAGTTGGCAGCCCATATGGGCTGCCATCGTCCCAGGAGCACAATTCCTTGGCAGGCCATATGGGCTGCCGCCGGCGTGATTGTATTGGGTTGTCCGGAAAGTTTCCGCCGATTTTGACTCACAAATTCAAAAGCGCATATCTCGGTTCAAACAAAGCGCCTTTGCTCGAAATAAAACTATTACAATCCCCATACCTTTGCCTACAAGAAATGAGTTTAACTGATCCGGATGTTGGAAGTGCTGGAGTTCTGTGAGCTAAGAACTCGGCGAAGGTCGTTTCACCACCATGTTGGGTTTCAATGCTCAATCTCTCTAAGTAGACCTTCCAGATGGTTGGAAAAGTGATAGTTGGTAGGCAATAGGTTTAGTGTGTAAAATGTTAGCAGCACAATTTCGTAGCCCAGCTAGTTCAAACGTAGTTCAACTTGGAAGTCCGAGATGGGGTTGTGCAACAGTGGGTAGAAGAGCCGGCGGCACCCAATTTTCGACTTCTTTGGGCTTTTTACCCTCACCGCTATGTTTGGAAATCTTATGTCGGTTACGCCCAATTCAGAAGCAGCCTGTTCAACAGTTTCATGCAGATTTTTTGGTCAAAACCCTCAGCTGATCTTTATCAGTCTCCGATATCACTAATCTCCTTCGAAGCTTTCAACATCGCGAGAAAGACATTTTGAATTACGACTGCACAGCGTATTTTTTGTGGACTCTGAACCAAATGCTCAGTTGATATCGCAACTTGCTTCCGCACATTTCCGAGCAAGTTTGAGGGGAAACAAGAAACTAGTGCAAAGCAGGCTGTTGAGTATGTTGTATTCAAGACTTCAAAAAAGTGGAAAGTGATTCAGCGTTGAAAAAACAGCAGATTGGATAGAGCGAGGAACACGAACGATATATGAAGTGTTAGCAGTTTCTTGAAAGTGACCCAGAAATAAAGCATTCAAAAGTGAGCTACAAAAACGGCGGAAACTTTCCGGACAACCCAATATTAAAGAGAAGACTCGAAAACTAAACTGGTGTTTATGAAAGAGGAAGACTTGTGGTGGAATGGCTTAAGAAGGATCCAAGTAGACTATATTTACAGAATTTTTTCGAAAAACAATATTAATAACTAACTCATAACAGAAAAGCAAAAACTTCGTCATCGCGCAGGCCGCGTAGATTTTCGGAGTTCCAAAGCGGGGAGCGGGAACCGAGTTTCGTAGTGCGACTGAGGGGTTCGTGAAGAAAAGAGTCCGGTTAAAATGAAAAAGAAGCTTGGTAGCTCCTAGCAGCTAATTTTAGGTAGAAGCTTTAGAAAAAAGGTCAAGCGAATGGCTCTCGAAGAACAATAATCAGAGTTCTAGACGATGACCCACTGAGTGCGGAAAGTAAGAATCACGAAATCGTACAGGAACAAAGGATTTTTTGCACAAGAAAGTACCGTAACAGCTACAGCACAACTGTTACTGAAAATCTTATAAGTAGGGCTTACATGTAGTAGGGCTGTGTTAATTCCTGGACTAACGATGCACTTGCTTTAAGCCCTCCAAAGAGGTTTCATTAATTTGCATTCTGGGTTCGCTTATAACTGAAGGGAAGTGCTAAGTAATCTACCTCTCGAACAAGCAGATCTTGGGGAGAGCTGTGATGGTGACAGTTGAGCCTTCTTGCCCAGAAAAAGGAGCCTTTAGCCCTGTTCTGAGTCTTCTTTGACCTGCGACGTTGGTCTGCTTTCTGAAACACGCCAAACGGCAATATAAAGATCAAGCAGAAGTGAAAAAGATGCAGGATTGTTTTGTTCGTTTTATTTTTACAAAGTGGTAGAATTTATGACAGCTTCTTGGCGCATAGATGAACAGACAACGCTATTAAAGCTACTTGCTCTGATCTTGCCATTCTAAGTGGCCTAGGCTCCAGATGAACCATTGGGAACTTGTATAGAGTCAGTTGCTTTGATTTTGTGCCAGTCCAATTATTTTCTCTCAATATCATTGGCTTGAGGAACAAGTCAAAGGAAGTGATAACGTAGAGCTTATTCGAAACATTATGCCTGCACACGTTCTCATTCACAAGTGGATTTTACTCTCTCAGATTAATTGATAACTTGTAAAGGGTGGCCAAAAAAGACACTTCACTCCATGTCTGTCGCGCCGAACGGCCGCTTCCGCCAGCAAAGTCGCATAAGCATGACGATCACCCGGCAGAAGGAAGCGGCCGGTGCTCGGCGTAGGTCTGCCGGGAATTACGCCGCGCTCACGGCTGGCCGCACTATTGCCACGGCGACTAATAGGCTGAAGGCAGCCGAACATGGCAATAACGCGCAAAACCCTACTGCGCATCGCATACCTAGGACTACGCTGTGATGTTATTGTCCCGCTAACTAGTGCACTATGGAGAATTATTGACCCGGCCTACGGGCACTGTATCAACCATGTACATAGAAATCTTGTTAATGACGAAATGATCTTGTAAGTAAAGAGATATTACTACGCGGACGAACCGCCTTACACTACACACATAACAAGAGTAAAGCCATAGATTCATGTAAGAACTACGAATAAAGAAACACTACAAAGTTATACGACAGCTACGCCTAACTCACGGGTCGAACCCAGTAGTCTCCGTTACGTGGGGGCGACGTGGCTCGGTTCCGCTGGACTTCCTCGGGCTTCCATGCCCGCTTCCACTTGCAAACGTATGAGGAGTTGACACGCAAAGTGGCGGCGACGGAATACGAACGGTAGCGAACGGCCAGACTCGACGACGGCAACACGTAGACTGACTGCAGGCAAGGGCGCCTGCGCTCTGCATCTCTGACGCTCTTCTCGAAGCTTCGACAGCACGGGCGCGCCAGGACCCGCGCGCACCCGACCAGGCGCGACCCTTTAGTTTGAGTCGTACGGAAGTCACGACAATGTCCTAGACAGCATTAATCCCACTTTGCTAAAATCAAATCGACTGCCCCCAACTTAGTATTAAAGAGCACCATCTATCTATCTAAACCTTACATGATAGCCTTCTACACCGACGACATCAGAAGATTTTCCCACGGAAACATGGTTCACGGTACGAGCTCAACGAGTCGTCGAGGTCACCATAGACAAGGGGGCCGTATGCAACAAGCCCCGAAGGTCTTCGGGGATATATCCCCGAAGTCGTATGCAACAAGCCCCGAAGGTTTTCGGGGACATATCCCCGAAGTCGTATGCAACAAGCCCCGACGATCGTCGGGGACATATCCCCGAAGTCGTATGCAACAAGCCCCGACGATCGTCGGGGACATATCCCCGAAGTCGTATGCAACAAGCCCCGACGATCGTCGGGGACATATCCCCGAAGTCGTATGCAACAAGCCCCGACGATCGTCGGGGACATATCCCCGAAGTCGTATGCAACAAGCCCCGACGATCGTCGGGGACATATCCCCGAAGTCGTATGCAACAAGCCCCGACGATCGTCGGGGACATATCCCCGAAGTCGTATGCAACAAGCCCCGACGATCGTCGGGGACATATCCCCGAAGTCGTATGCAACAAGCCCCGACGATCGTCGGGGACATATCCCCGACGACCTTCGGGGCTTGTTGCATAGGGTCGTCGGGGAGGATTCGTCGGGGATGAATCCCCCTAGTCTCGACTAGGGGGATTCATCCCCGACGGCCTCCAAACGTACGTGTTACTTGAGCTAACTCAGTGGTCAGTCAGTTGGACTGTCGACGCGTAAGCGTTGCGGTCCAGCCGACCTCGGTGATGAAACGATTTTACGTATATATCCCACCCTGCGCCGGTGCAATTGCGTACCGCAAGCGATTACAGTACGCCCACGCCTAGTTCTACTGGCGTTGACAGTTGTAACTGATGATCACAGGCGGGGCTCGTGATGAAAGGAAATGGGAAGGCTAATCAATTCATAACTAGCACAGCTCCGAATATTGTACTGAGTTGAGCCATGCATTTCTCCTTCTCGGATAGGTGACGGGTACCGACAGATGCTCTACATATCGTTGGAAAACCATTGCGCGCTTGGAAACCACTCTAATTCCTTATGTCATTTTCTTCTTAACATGCAAAATAGGGTAATGTGCTAGGGTATTTATATTGTTCCGCACTAGAACAATCATTGATGTCATTATGCATTGTACAGTGCAGTGAGGGACTCGAGGGGACGAAGTTTACTTGGCACCCTGAGGGAAGAGAGAGTTCTAATTCGTGAGGTAGTTTTCATCATGAACTGCTTAGTAGTTGCGTCTCACGGCCACCTTGTTTTCGAGTTGGTAGTTGATTTATTCGCAATTGTAGATATTTCCATAGACATAGAAATCTGATACGGAGGTATCCTTGTGAGGATGACTTGTGCTGAAAGTGAGAGCGCATACTTGTAGATGATAGGCACGGGATATGTTCATTCTTTCTGTAAAAGATGCCGTAAAATGTGATTCAGTTCCATTCGAGATAATCCGCTTACAGGAGCGTTTGCGTTACCGTTGCGAATCAATTTCTTGAGGCGCTAGTGTACTCAAAAGGGGCATGCTCACGCTGACTGAGCCTTGGAGAAGAGGGTGAACTTTGAGGGTAATGAAAACTGCTTACACATCCCCCTAGACTCACAGCCTAGTACTAGGGGGACCAGCAGGGGGTGGGGAGGAGCATGATGACTTGGCGCTTTTATTCGCCAACCTTGTGTGGGATTTTACAGCTTCTGCGTTGGAAGATAATAGCAGTTCTTTACGTAAGCTGTGAGCAAAAGCTTAACTATTGCGCTATAAATGGGAAAACTGTTCTCCACGATTCCAATCATTTTGCATCAAATGTTATGTTCAGTGTTCGCTTCCACTTTTGCTGCATAGGAGATAGGAATTTTTTATATCCACTACCACAAATATTCACTGCTGACGTCTCGAAGATATATGCAAAAAACTGCTAGACTAGATATAAGTCATCTAGTCTTATTATTTCCTCTCATCACAAGTTCTACCCGTAGTTACTCAATCGAAAACAGGGTGCCAACGATAGCGGAACTAGCCGTGAGAGTACTGTAATCGCTTGCGGTACGCAATTGCACCGGCGCAGGGTGGGATATATACGTAAAATCGTTTCATCACCGAGGTCGGCTGGACCGCAACGCTTACGCGTCGACAGTCCAACTGACTGACCACTGAGTTTAGCTCAAGTAACACGTACGTTTGGAGGCCGTCGGGGATGAATCCCCCTAGTCGAGACTAGGGGGATTCATCCCCGACGAATCCTCCCCGACGACCCTATGCAACAAGCCCCGAAGGTCGTCGGGGATATGTCCCCGACGATCGTCGGGGCTTGTTGCATACGACTTCGGGGATATGTCCCCGACGATCGTCGGGGCTTGTTGCATACGACTTCGGGGATATGTCCCCGACGATCGTCGGGGCTTGTTGCATACGACTTCGGGGATATGTCCCCGACGATCGTCGGGGCTTGTTGCATACGACTTCGGGGATATGTCCCCGACGATCGTCGGGGCTTGTTGCATACGACTTCGGGGATATGTCCCCGACGATCGTCGGGGCTTGTTGCATACGACTTCGGGGATATGTCCCCGACGACATCAGAAGATTTTCCCACGGAAACATGGTTCACGGTACGAGCTCAACGAGGTCGTCGAGGTACCATAGACCATTACGACGTCCCTGAAACGCTGGTCAAAAGCGGTCTTGCACAGTCACAGCTAGTGTCTCTGGGAAGCTATTCAACAGTTAATCCATTGAAGAAATTATGTAGCAGCTTCAGGCCGGAGCGATTACGGTAAGCCTCGTTGAGCTCGACGGTGGCGGCAGATGACGTCATATTCTGAAGACGGCGGGGCAGTGAAGGAGGGCCTGCTTCTGTTTACGGGGGAACACCTAAGGAATATTCGCCGTAAAACTTTCATTAACATCGGCTGTGCGACGAAAAGTTCGATGATGTGCGCCATGGGCAAAGTGTCTCTTTTTTTGGCCACCCCTGTATTCACTTCCTAATCATAAGTGCACCCCTGTTTTCCACTGACAGTGGCCGGAACATCCGTTAGTTTGCGTGAAACCAAGCTTTCCGCTTTGTTCACTTGTATTGTTCACTTAGGCAGTGTGCGTGTGTCTAGAAGGTTCTTATTTGGTTCTCCTAGGAAAAGAAGAGATGGTCGTATTAGTTCGGACTGGCAGTAGAATTTTCCAGTTTAAGGAATTCTTTCGGAAAATTCTTGCACTTTTCCCACATGAATATGTCAGTTGTGATCACTAGAACAAGCATACAAAGTTTCACGCATGAAGATTCGGTTTCCGAAGAGAAACAAACGTACAAAAACCACACTCTATGGACATCGAAGGTAGGTCGGGCAGAGACAAGGAAAGGAAGTAAGCCTTGGAGGCGACGCATCGAAAGGAATACAGACGTCTCGAACGATTTTGGAGAGCAGAGAATAATTTATTTAGAAAATAGAATGCTAGATGATAGTGCAATAAGTCGAAAGAACAAAAAGTTCCTATTGACAGCTTTTCAAGAACCAAGTGGAAGCGTTCCCGCGCCAGCATTTGTGACAGATGTACGGCGGGAATTGAACGCGTAGCAGTCCTTCCGGTTTTTCGAATTGTTTACCAAAACAAACGCTTTTTCTGTTCTTTTCGTTCTTATCGTGAAAGATGGGTCTCAAGCCAGTGAATTCATGGGTGGTAGAATCATGATGTTTTTAGGAAGGATTCCCTCGAGGCAACGCGATTTTTGAGCAGATTCATTAGATTCCCCTCCCGTCCCCGCTTTCTTGGACGGAGCATTCTGGGAAGGGCCAGGTATAGTTGCAGATGGGACTCAAAGAGTGTGGAGTAAGATCTTGTGACAAAGAGAAGTTGCGAGACCGTGACTGAAGGTTCGTATAACTTCGATGAGCCACAACTCTACTCCCAACTATGGTCCACTGTCACTGATAATCGCATTCCTAGACTGAATATCGTTTAACCCCGTTGTTACGCAGCTGTTTTTTCTCGTTGTGTTCTCCAACCTTCTAGATGAAATATCTAATACCTGTTTGATCACTGGAAACGTATCTCTACTTACTGGTAGAGAACTGTGTAGAACACCGACAGAGGTAGTCTGGCTTGGTGTTTATAGTGGTTGGCTTTACTTTAGGTACTAAAAAGTGAAGGCAGCGATTACGATAGGTTTAGCAATGGTTTGAAAAAGACGGGTGGTGCTCAATGTTAGGTCGGTGGCGAAAAAAGGGGATGAATTTGTCAAAAAAAACCCAAAATGGGACCCATTCTTTGCCGTTGGCCTTTTTTTTCGTTAACAGATGACAGTTCAGAAAGCAGGCCTATTGCAGGCCATATGAATTCAACGCGACGCGTTTGGTAACAACATGCCAATTCCCGCTCCCATCGAATTGCTCCTGTTGTGCCGCTGCTTTCAACGCCGCTCGTCCAATCACCGAACTAAAACCTAGTGGGTGGATCGCTTTTGGGGGCGGGGTGCTTTCGAAGTCTTGCTCAGCAAAAAGCGAACCTGTTGTAAAAGCGCTACACCTTGTTTTTCTGGCACCCCAAGTAACTGATTTGTGTAGTGCATATGCTTTCCGACGCGCTCCCTGTTTATCGTAATTGCTGCCTTTAAGTGTTTGCTTTAGAACTTCTGCGTCGGCTGTGCTCATCGCGAGAGATCGAGTGCTCAGCGAAAACCTCTTGCCGGGATACGATTTCAAGTAAGCGAAGTATCGTTCCAAATGTAGCTCAATTCTTGGTTAATCTGAGCTTGAATTTTCTAACAGCAGCGTTACTATTCCAATCGCTGCTGTTAGAAATTGAGCTTTGCGAAGTTCCTCTGCGGCCGTGCTATTCCACTCCTTTTTCAGTTTTACCGTGCGGTTTGATCAATGTGTTGAAACAACAGCGGCAGGAATTACGGTGGAGTTGATTCGTGATTTGAATGTGGACGGCATATTTGGGCCTACATGTAGTTATCGTAAGTTTTTACACGAATGTCTGATCAGGGTCAACCGTCACGTTGGACCGATTTCGAAAATTTTACGACCCCCTCCCCCTTCTAGAGGGCCTCGATACGACCCCCCTCTCAGGGTCAACCCTTCACCACCCTCGCCTGCCATCGCCATCATGGGGCTCATTCTATAGTATTCGATTCTGAGACCAGTCGACACAGCCCAAACTCCGCCCACTTTTTTCCTCCAAAAGTTGCCGTCGAGCGGGGGGTATATACCTATCACGAAACCGCCTAACATTCTTCTCACTCCCGCCGCCTTATTTCACCCAATTGTCCACTTGCAAACTAGGGGTATATATGACCCACCCCCCCACTCTGAATGGACTTTGTCCAACGGACGCGTTGACCCTGTGTCAGATGCTGCTGCACAAGTTGACTGCTCTTTTTGTCAGGTGTTAGTATTTTGGCTCTGCAACTTTATCGCTCGTTTTCAGCTGCTATCGCTTCAGCACTGAACGCTGCCTTCTACGAAATCCCTTTATTCACATGGGGTTTGAGTAATTCTGCTGCACTGGATAGTAGGGACCGTTTTCCAACAACTGGAGTTCTGTCCGTCAATACTCTGAGGTGACTCTAACTTTTGTTTGAGTAGCAATATCCCTTAATCGAATAACTTTACATGAAAAACTCGTTGCAATCCGCTTTTAACGTGCGTAAATAAAGAGGGGGCCATGCCACGCAACAAACAGAGGTTGAAGAAGGAGAAAAATCACCTAATGGAGAGACAGGCGGACGCCCTAAAGGTGGCGGACTCAAACACGAGCAGCCTATTGCCCACCATCGAGAATGGATTGCCTCCGGCACTCTGGCATTGCCCTCGCTCTTTACGTTCGCGTTGGCCAGGACGGCAAGAGCCCACCGACTATCTAAAATTCACTTGCCTGTCAGGTTATAGCGCGGCGAGTGATCAGACAGTCTATACGCTATATGCTATACGAAGTATTAGTGATTAGATAGCGGAGAGAGCGTTAGCGTTGAAGAGGGCACAGCGATGAGAGTCGCATCAAGTGCGAAAATCAACGGGCAAGGAAGGGGTCCCATTTCCTCAGATTCTGTGCCGTTTCTCATGGTTTTCCTCTCTCACGCAGTGTTGCAGAAGGAGAAATATGTTGGCTGTAGAGGGAGGCCACGCTCCCCGGGGAGCGAGACCAGCCAAGAATGTATGGAGCTAGCTAAGCTTTACCTGGCAGTAGACGCTATCCGCGCTCCCAGCTCCCGCAGGAGAGCAGGCTGACAACTACATGGTTGCTGATTCAGGCAATACTCATCTGAATGACAGGCAGAGCAAGGCTTTCACAATGATGACTCCATTCGCATAATCTCCTCCGGCACGGAAATCAACAAGTAGAGAAAGCATTCTTCCGGGTTTCTCAAGCCAACTTCCCTTCCCTCCCTTTTCCTTCTTGGGTCCAGCTACTATCCAGACAGTTGGGATAACAGTGAGATTCAGCTTGAAATTCGAGTCAATTCGAATCATAATAGGTTGGTTGGAAAAACCCTCGTCACGACTCCTGCGAGTATTCCTGAAATGAACTAACTCGAGGGTCAGAAGCAAGCACCATCACTCTACACCAGTAATTGTGGTAGTTCGCCATTTTCCCAATCCCGGCCTCCCAGAAGTGAAGAGGTTGGAACTTGAAGAGTTAGTCCACGATTTTTTTTGCTTCACATCGCCCTTTAGCCACCAACATGACACGAAGCTTTTGTACTTAGGCACGGGATTTGGGAAAGACTTATGGTATTCTGCAGCCGCAGTACCTCCTCTCAGCCTTCATGAAAGAGACCCACTCTTATCTTCAGCAATTTGAGGATCTTGTGCTACTTCTGGAAAATGAGAAGTAAAGTGCAAGGGGATATCATGCTAATCGGTTAGCCGAAGAGTAATCCAACGACTAGTGATAATGCGTGATAATGCATAATAATGCATAAAAATAATGAACGACTTTATCAGTTGCCTGTAGCTCGTGTACTTCTGCCATTTTGGCACGACGAGTGTTGCGGTAGCCTCCTGGTGATGGCATTCGAATCCTTCCGACGTCGAACTGGAGTAGCTTGAAGAGCTCCATACGCCAACTTTACCTTCTGCACCTTCTACCCCGCTGACATGCACTAACTTGGCATGAGCTGCCTTTGTATCAAAACGAGAATTCTGGAGAAAACGGAGGTGTTTGCGTCGAAACATTTCTTTGAGTTGGAAATCAGGTCAATCAGTTGGCTTCCAAAGCAGATGACAGTGAGCGATTGCAGTGAAGGAAACTCCTGCACACTCTATGAAACTCCACGACGAAGTATGACCAAGCTTACGCTGAAAATACAGGTTGATCAAACATGTGTTGGGAGTTTTTGAGCATCCCAATGAAAAAAGAGTTCCACTACAACTATGAGCGGTTAGGGAGGATACCACGATAAGAACGACGGTCGAAGAAGGGTAAAGTTACCTAATGGAGAGACAGGCGGACCCCTAAAGGTGCGACCAACACGCAATTCGCATCGAAGGATATGCCCCGGCGATCTGGCATGGCCTTCCTCTTTGACGCCATTGGCCGGAACGCCCACCGACTATCTAATCACTCGCCGCAGGTCTATACGCGGCGAGTGATTAGATAGCAGAGAGAGCGTTAGCGTTGAAGAGGGCACAACGATGC